ACCTACTGCTGTGCGCAGTTTATCCCTCATTTCCCATGTACTTATCGCGGATCAAAATTTCGGACCCCCTCCCGCTTTTTGGTGTGGCAGACCGTGGTGACCATCACTTGGGTACATGAAAACCAAGTGACGGCTGAATTTTATTCGAGTAAAATCTTGATTCTCTAGAGAGAAAGAAAAAAAGCTCCACCGCGAGTGATTTCTGTTTACAGCGCGTTATATATAGGTTCGGCGAAAAGCTCCAAGTGCAAGTGCAGAGCCATCAAACGGAACCCCAACGCCGCACTCTCATTATTTATATTCCCCGCTCTCTGTTTATTACACGAGTATACGCGTACCTCCGTATGAATACACTATCACGCGAAACGAGAACGCACCCATTCACACGAATGTACGGACGTCGAAAAGCGTACGTGTGTGTCCATCGCTGCTATCATCTTTTCTCTCGCCCCCTCCTTTTTTTTTTTTTTTTTCAATTCACAATGGCAAGCCAGCTCTCTTTCACCCGATCGTTTAACTGTGCCTATAAGTGTACCATACACACGACTTCCGCTGCTCTCTTTCTCTCTTGCAGTACAGCATCAGCTTCACGTGTTGTGGATGCATGCGCGACTATAGCACCGGTCAATTTATCAACGGGTGACATTGTCTCGCGGATTCGCCGGCGCCGCTTCCTCTTTAAAAATGTACCACTACTGCACTTTGGTTTGAGACGGGCGCTTGCTCTCTTTTTTTATTTTTTTCATTGCGGGCGTTTGACTGGATTGTTTTTTTTTTCTCGCTGCGACAATGACAAATGAAGTACCGCGTGCCACGGGAGAGCGGTAGGATTCGCGGGGACCACTCGAGAGGAGTTTGGAGGGAGGAGCTGCTCTGTTTTGACTGAAAACTTTCGGCCCGGGTGTCTATATATTGTGCCCTCGTGAGCCGAGTTTTTAAAGAAGAAAAGCAGAGCGCGAGCCTTGAATGGAGGGCTAAAAATACAACCACATGCCCGCGTTTGGGAATACCCCCTCTCTCTGTTTCTCCGAGTAAACGGTACATATAGTATCAGTGGAACGCGTCTCTTTTCGGTTTTGGGAGGGAGAAACAAAATAAAAAAATATCATCTTTGACTCATCGCAAGATGATGACAGCCACGGCCTATACGGCGCGTTTCACTTTTTGAAGGTGGTAAAAATAGAGCGGGGGCGGAAAGTTGATGCGTTTTTTTTTTTTTTTTTTTGGAGGTTCGATATCCGTTGAAGGTTTCGCGTTACTAGAATATTCGTGGAAGATTGCGTAGGAATCTTGTTTTTCACTTTCCACCGCTACTGTCACGTTTCATAAAATTCAAAGGTTCGGGGAACATTACACTGTTAATGGTCTTCGTTATTCAAAATATTGTGCTTATTTTTAAAACCAACACAACCAAAATAATCAATGGTTCATTTGAAAGGTTATCTCTTTGTGTTCGATATCTTTTGATTGCTCATCAGCACTGATGTATTTTGGGTTTAAATTTTTAATAGCAAAGCGACTCACGAAAGATACAAGCGGTTTTGAGTGAAATAATATTCGATCAGTTTTTTCCAATTATTTAGATATTACAATTCGATCAAATAACTATACTGTTTCTTTTTTTTTTTTTTTACGGTTAATAGCTAGTATAATTGATGCGTATGATAACACGAGTGGGTACACTATCACATGTTCTATACAATTTAGCTTATCGCCGAGTACAAGCAAACTATTGAGATTGAGATAACTCACTTTTTAAAGTTTCCATGTATTTTGCTCGACTGAAGGTACAAGCGTCACCTGTAGTCATTTATCATCTATTCTGAGAAAAAAAAAAAAAAAAAAAAATACCTCCACCTACGCACAATTAGGCCGCGAATGTGCTCACCGTGTAGCGAACAGTGAGTAAGTTGCAAACGACATCTGCCGCAATAATAGTCAAAACGACACTCTTGGATGATAAAGCATCAGATAGTAACTCGCGACACACTATACATGTCCCGATAAGAAATTACTTTAATGAGCTTTACCAGGGCCGTGTCGAGCGTCTGGAGAGCCCCTCTGCCGCATAGTTTCAGATTACCAATAAAAATGTTAATTACAATTAAAGCGAGCGATCTACATAGATTCCAAAAAACCTCTTTGGTCGTACCGTCATTTGGGTGTACACCGCCTGTCACGAATCGCGCGCGCGTCCGACACTTGTATACACCGGAAAAATTACTACCCGAGTATTTCACCTTACCGCGGCCCTGGATATCGTTTTCGAGCTGCCGGGGATATTTCAATCGGACTCGTGTCGTTCTCGACGTGTCGAGCGTTAGTGCAAAGTTAGTTTCTGATGCATTATAACCTCCATCACTTCCAGAAAACAGATCGTAGACAGATTTGGTACTCATACCGATTCGTTTGAGCTGTGCACGCCTCAAGAGACGAAGATAATCTTCCAGCGCATTTATTTTGGTGTACTACGTCACTGCACATCATGAAAACGTCTCTAGCGCATAGTCTAATGGCACTGCATTTGGTATGGCTTTCAATTTTTTGTTTTATTTTAATCGTCCAATTGATAAGCCATGCTTACCTTCATTGTTCTCGAAATGTGCAACTTGAGGCCGGATTGTATAGCAGCGATATTGAAATTCGTATAACAACAGCGATACCGTCAAATTAGACCAGTGTATTTTCTTAATTTAGCAAAACAAAGGTGAACCTGTATTATGATTTTAAAGATACCCTAAAACTAGAATTTAGTTTTGACCGCTAGATTCAACTATTATTTTATTACTCTAATTACACACGTAGGTTATGTTAAAGGTAAGGTTTTTCCCTTACACCATTAGAATCGTTGGGAATTTTACAACTCGGAGAGGTATCTAATCCATACAAAGTAAAATTTCCACTTGCACAACTTACTCGTAGATCGGTACATATATATATATATATATATATCCATAAAGATAAAATACTTTAGATTAATAATGGGAAGTAACGTATATCGTATAGGTATACTGAAAGATCGTATTATCTCTCTACTTTTTTTCGCGTAATTAAAACACGGTCGTCTTATTCACCTTGAAAGCATTGTGTATCTTTACACGCGCGTGTAAAGAGTATACGTGCACTTCAAAACTGACCCTGAAGCTCACTTCGATTGCCCACGTGGATATTTGTAATAAAAATCTTTCGAAACGCAAAAACACTTATCGGAACGCATAAAAAAAAAAAAAAAAAAAAAATTTATCGTCTTCGCGGCATGTGAAGAGATTATAAAACCCCAACTCAAAACTCCCTTTCTCCAGCCCCACCCCGGAGGAAAAAAAAAAAAAAAAACAAGAATTCCAGATGCAAAAACACCCTCCTCACCCTCTCGAATTAGTCACTCGCGCTCCACCCACTTGACCCTGAGCCTCGAGCATCCATGTACATACGCATACACGGTATAAATTTCACTCTCTCTCTCTCTCTCTCTCTCTCTCTCTTTTCGTGAAGCACAATGTCGTCACTGTGTTCGAGTATAAGTACGCGTGTTTTCACAGCTGCCGCTAGAGCTGTTTGCCCCCGAGACACCATGATATTGTACACTCACGCGCGTGCGCGCGATCTAAAATCGGATGCAGCGGATGATAAACTCGCGCTGATTTCGCCCGCGCAGAGGGTGTAAGTGCAACGTCGGCAAAGCTTTGCGAGAGAGAGGGACTGAGCTGTATTTCACGCTGGATCAAAAATAAAGGGGAATTTGTTTTCGCGTTTGATTGATGGATACGAGCGCTTTTTGCGGTTAAAATTAGAGGGGAAAGGGTTTTGATGTTTGGGGGCAATTTGTCGGGGATCGTTTGTTTTGTACGCGGAAATCGAGCTCGGAGGTGCCCATTCTTTGATGATGATCTCAGGTCGGGTATTTCTTGAGGCTGCAGCGAATACAGGTATAAATTCACTGAGGACTGTTTTTCCGTTGAATATTGAAATTAGGATATTTTTTATTTTTTTGAAAGACAATCGTACTTGAAAGACAAAATAAGTATATGGTCAAGTAATTTTGTAATTGTGCATAAATTGCCTGTTGGAGTCCTTGAATGTTTCATACTTTCTGAAAATGTGATGCACCATGTTTTATAAGCAAAAATAAAAAAATATCATTCGTGTATAAAATAGTCATGCCCAAGTCCAAGTTTAACGTTGTATAAACTGAATGGAAACATTTCTTTGAACAAACAAAAAAAAAACAAAAAAAACAAAAAAAAAAAACTCGTAACTTATCGAAACTACACAGCCTCCAAAGATCAACCCGAAACTCCCACAGTATGCAGAGTCTCGCGAAATATCAGTCGCCGTTGCCTTCGCGTTATTATTAGCGGCCCGCGTGTGTACACACGCATACCTCCCTTTTCCGCTTCGTTCTCTCTCTCTCACCTCGTCTCGAAATTATTAATACCACCCAGTCGAGACGGGCGTCGTTGCACAAAGCAGCTGCCTATACTTACGAAAATGAGGAAATATCTGTATAGGCTCACAATCCGCGGAGCCGAAAATTCGTGAGAGCAAAAGTACAAAAGAAGAAGAAAACCAGAGGGACGATTTCTGCGACGTGTGTTTGTTACGTCGATTCACACGTGGTATATGTATGTAGGTACAATAATAACCCTCGATTTGGAGTAACGCGATTTGTCGAGCGTACGGTGCAAATTTTTCCTCCAATATGCCCGACGCGCTGCCCTAGCGAGGATATCGGAAATATTATTCAAATGGGCATTGAATCCGGCGGTGCGAAATATACTTTTTTCGCCCACGCTTTACTCGTATCCATGAAAACCCGTGTAGGGGTGCCTTGGCCCGGGGCAGATATTGAAACTCGAAATTGAAAATTTATCTTTCGGCACAGTGACATTTATTTTTTCCCTCTTTCCGTGCACGAAAATTTTGTCTTGGAAAATTTTTCGAAATACGAAAAAAAAAAAAAAAAAAAATGACTAATTGTTGCCCCTTGTTTGTCCCAACAGCCGCCGGAGAACGAGCTGCAGAAGGTGGGCGAGCGCACGCCATCGGAGCACGAGCTGAGGGTGCAGCGCTCGCTGCAACGACTGAACGTCCCGGATTGGTACAAGAATTCGTCGGCGGCGCGGGACGGCGGTGGCTTCCGACTCAAGAGGCACTCGGACGCTTCGCAGCACGGCGGCTGGCGCGCCCTCGGCTCGAAGACCACCTCCCTGTCCTCCCTCTCCTCGTCTTCCAATCGGCAGCCGACCGCAGGTAATTTTCGTCTCGAAGCCTTACCGATTGATCGCCCCCCTTTTTTTTCCATCCAAGTGGGACAATGACACAGCGAGTGCAATTGTACGGTTACTTCGATTTACGAATGAAAAGTGGCTACTATTGCACGGGGAAATTTTTAAACAAACAAAAGATATCTGCAACGCCAGCCTACACTTGAAGTTGGATAAAAATGGGGGTAGTCAAACAAAACACGTCGACTCCATTTAAATAACGATATCGATGGCTCGGGAAAATCAAACGCTGTTTCAGAAGTCTGCATTTGGTTTGTTTTTTTAATCTATCATCACCAGCATTAATCATCTACACTGATAGAAAAAAAGGATACAAACAAATGAATGCTCATTCCATTTGAACAATATTAATTTAAATCAAATGAACTATTTCTTTACAACGTAATTTTCAATGGATTCCAATAAATATTTACTTGTTTGTGTTCGTATGAACGTTAGTTTGGATTGACGAAATTTTTCCAGTGTATAGATTTCGTTGTCAAACGGGAGCGTTTCAAACTCGCAACGCGAATTTTCTGAGGCAGCACTGTTTTTTGAAATAATTCTCGATGATACGTTATTTGCTTAAATCATCGGCTTGACCATTAACATAAAACTCCGAGCTATGCTCAAAAATCAGTCTATACACAAACTACGTACAACGAAACATCCCAACACTTTGTTCATCGACACAGTTATTCCTCGTCCCAACTTTTTTTCTACTCTCAAAAGACAAAAAAAAAAAAAAAAAAAACGAAACTCTTTGCTCCGTTTGTCAATTAACCGAAAGGGTCTTAGCGCAGGGAGTACTTTCCAATTAAAAAAACACGCCCATTTCCGTCGTCGCATCCGTAACGAGTCTCCTATTGCCGATCCCAGACAGTACACTAAAAATAACCACACACCAGCCTATCCTCTCGAAAGCAAACTCCAAGCGCCCAGCTCAAAAAAGTTGAACCATACAAAGTAAAAAAAAAATGCAACTAAGTATATAGCTTTGAAAAAAATTATTACCTTCGTCTTCCGTCGTATCAGTCGAACCGAGATCGATCGGCAATGGTTCTCAGGTAGTCCAGCGCCCTCGAATGACCCCAAAAAAATAAAAAAAATCGTGTGCTCGATAAAACAGTAAAACGAGAATCCTCGCGAGCATGCAAATACCTGCGTGTACACTGCACCATGCGGCAAAGACCCTTTGCGAGCGAAAAATCATTCCTCCGTCGCGAGAGGCGGATAATGGATCGGAGAGCGGCACTGCTGATACCAGTGCCCGAAATCATAATTCGCGATTGTTAGTTGTAACGAATTGTGAAACACTGCGTTCATTTATTAGTAAAAAAAAAAAATGTAAAAAAAATAATTGCCTTAGGTACGCTTTTGAGCCCGAGCCCGACCCCACCCGCGTTCTCGAGATGGAGCACGAGTCTGCTCAACAGTGCCGGCAGCTCACCCGCGAGCTCGGCCCGCTCGTCCTTCAACCTGCGACAGCCCTACCTCGGCTGGCGCTCCCAGGAGCGACTCGCCAATCCACGCACCCCAGCAGAACGACTCGCCCAGGGCATCCTGCCGCAACTGCAGAACGCGAACAAGGTAAGCCGGCTCAACTCCAATCGGCAGCTTTGGCTGAACAACAGGAACTTACAAGGAAACCATATTTTTTTTTTTTTTTTTTTTTCAATTTCCTCTCTCGACAGAGGTCAGCTCGACGGGGTGGCGGTGATTCTTGTAAATACACGTCGGCAGCGTCTCGCGCGTTCAGGGGCGCGCCTTGACTTTAACTCCCCGTCTGCCCGAGTCAAGGCGCGCTGTATACGCACGAGCGAACGGCCTTTCTCGTTTTCTCTTCGATTTTATGTGTACTTTTCAAAGTTGGATTTACCACTGTAAAAAAAAACAAAGTGCACTCGAAATTCACTTGTCGGTCCTATTGACCGTTGGTGACCCGAAACGGAAGGAGTAAAAAACAAAAACAAAAATTAAAGTGTGTGTAAAGTAGTTATTTTTAATACTCGCGCAGACTACCCTCCTATACGCAGTCCGACTCGTGGTTATAATTAACCGAGACTTGTTTTACGCGCGTGTGTTTTCGCGGAACATATACGTTACATCTAATAGCTCGGAAGGTCTTTCAGGGAGCGGGTAGACGGACGCGTGAGTGACTTTTTTTTTTTTTTTTTTAAGCTCTTTGTTTCGGTCGATTTCTGAAATTCATTATCGTGGACTGGGACTTTATAGGCACGCGTTGGCATTATTAAACGCTGCGGTGTATCATTTGAATTTTCACTCTGGTACAATATACTTGATGTGCAAAAAAAAGCCTGGGGAGCGTCGTATTGTGTAAACGTTTATTTTTAATATTCCCCCCCTCGTCTTTACTTTGACGCCGAGTCGTCCACGAGGGAGGATTAAAAAGCTTCGAGCGTCTTTGGCGTGAGTGTTTTTTCTCGGGCAGTGCGCGTCGCGTTGTATTTTTATTTATAATAATAACACGTCGAGCGCTGGTGTCGAGAAAAAAAAGCGAGAAAACGAGGCCAGAGGCTGATATATTTTCGAAACAAATCGCGCCATCCCCCCGATGCTGAGTATTGTACAAAGTGGCGTCGCTTAGCATCACTGTTTAATTACATCCACGTGAGCGTGCGATTACGATTACTCTTGACAAGTTGGTTTTATCGGCCGGCAATGTTAATTGCGTATTCAGAGAGTTACAGAAAAGGCATCTTTTTTTTTTTTTTTTGTATATAAATGGGCACTTGTATGTGCCAAGTAACGACTTTTATACTATATACTCTTTGGCCTGAGAGCAAACGAGCCGGCGATGAAAATCGCTACTCGAGGCATGAATTTTTCACGAGTTTTGCCCGACTTTTCGGCTTGTGATTATTCAGTGACTTTCAAAGTGATGCTCTGATTTTAACTGGTATACAAGTGTTTCGTACAATAATATATATATAGCGAAAAATCCGAATGTACTAGATGAATTACTATAATAGGATGATAGTGTTATTTGCCATGAAAATTCAATTATTATTTATTAGTAACGAATCAAAATTGGTTTTCTCGTCCGAACTTAATATGTATGTATACTGGGACAACTACTCCGGCTCAAACTGGAGTACCTATAGTACATTGGCTTGATATCGATTCATCGGATGAAGCTTTGAGCCTCAACTGGTGTAATCTGCATAGCACTTCATCCCCGAGGCCGAGTCGTCTTATCTGTCTTTCTCCTGACTTTCAGCAGCAGCCGCAGCAGTCGCCGCAGCAGTCCCAGCCTGCGGCGGGTCCGGCCGGGAATCAGACAACGAATCAGGAGGTGCGGAACTCGATAAAGGAGGTCACCTCGGCCATTGTGCACTACGTGCAGAGCGGCCAGGAGGTCGTGAGCGGCAGCCTCTCGCCGAGGCCCGAGTGGGACGACGCGCGCTCGAGGTCTATCAGTCCGCGAGGTGAGCTCCACCACTAGCACGCCTCCTCTTCCCCGTGTGTAAGGACGAGGCTCCGTACGAGGGGGTGTACCAACAACCGCCGCTGACTCTTCCACGTTTTACACTGGCTCATCTTCCGTCCGCGTCATCCATCATCTTTTCTTTCTCTCTCAGCATAATATACCTGGTGCCCGTAGCTATCTTTTTTTTTTTTTTTTTTTTTTGTTTTTTTTTGTTTTACTCTCCGAGAGAAATCAAGTATACTTTGCTCGAAACTCACTACAACGAAAGGAAAGGAAAATAATGTATGTTTAAGAGGTCGCCTACCCCACGTGATCACCTGTAGCATATATGTATACTTCGCTAGCTGTAGCTCGATCTCACAGACACATGTATACGATGCTGACGAACACGAAGAGAGAGAGAGCCGTGTGATGTGGTACAGCCTATACAGAACACACAGCAGCAACAATGATTGTCCATGTGTATGTACCGATTATGCGTGTGTGTATTTTAATTGTGTTGTGGCTTTGTACCTATACATATTATATACGTACACGTAGTATCATCGATGAGAAAAAACAGACACGAGAGAGAGAATAAAACGCATACACACACCCGCACGCGCGCGCGTAAGGTGTATGGAGCAAGTGTGCGTTGTTGGTTGATTTTTTTTTTTTTTTTTTTTTTTACCCTGACGAGTGATGAAAAGCTACAGTCGAATCCCAACACCAACCGAACGTCACGACCGCCACGATATTCGCCATCGTCACCTATTTTACTCCGCGACCAAGGTAATTTTATTTTAATTTTTCGTCTTTTTCTCACTATTTTATAAGTTCACGTGGATTGTTTTTCTTTTTTTTCATAGTATTATGTTAATCGTACTGCGTCTACCTTTGGATTTCAAGTTTTTTTTTAACTCCAATTTAGAAGTACCTGATGTGCCGATTACCACGTGTGGATCACCTTTCCGATAGGCTTTGTAGATGAAATTCCAATAAAATCCATTCGGAAAAAAACTTGAAATTCAAGGGTGGTATTTTCAACCAGTCGCGTATACTAACTTTCACCCAATTGCTAACCAATTAATATTAACATTAACAATGTAAAATAATATTTATCGTCTCGCTTTACCGATTTCGTAACAATTCATAAATTACTTTTCTTTTTAACGCACATGAAACCAATCATTTTATTTTCTCCCTTTGGCATGTTTATGCTAACGTGACGATATCCCCGACGACAACATCAACTCACACATATATACGAATACATTCGATAAAACGCACAACGTATAATTTAGTCACAGTATACAAAGTGGATGGATTATGAAAAAAAAAGAAAAAAAAAAAAAAACACACAAATACGATGGCAAAACTCGGCTATCAGTACCGGCACGCGTCTCCGATGAATATTTATCGTGAGGAAAGGGACCACACTGCAGGCCGTCCGATCGAAAGGCCCGATACCGTCAATCTTCGTTACAATATTAAGTATATCGAGTCCCTTCTTGACTTCTCGACGCACACCTTTTCTCCCCCTTTTTTTTTGTTTGTTTTTTTCCCCCCCTTCACCAAGCAGAAAAAGCTACGTAGGTATACAATTTCACAAGTAGATGTAAAAAAAAAGTTTTTTTTTTTTTTTCATTGTTCAGTTGCTGCATTTTTTACTCTATACGTACAAAGTCGTGAAAATGTTGTACTGCAATGCTTACATCATAAATGTTCATAATAATGAAAGCAGTAATACTTTTTATGCCGAGCTATATAAATATAATACGTAATTTTTTGTTAAATATATATTAGATGTAAATACAATTTTTATAAATACATACATTTATATATATTTTTATACGAGTCGTTGAAAATCATAATTATTCGATCGGAAGCGTTGAAAGGTAAGACAATACAAATATATTTCAAGCTATCGTAATTAAATGTTTTTATATATACCTACACACACAATGTTGTACAGAAAAATTGACACAAACACTATATCATAGATATAATATATTGAAATACTCACGTAGATATATATATATTTTTTTACACGTAGATGCAAACGTTTCTCATGCTCTTCCAATTACAAGTCGTACGAATGTAAAAAATCCTTTTTCGATCCCATAAACCATCTCTTAAAAAAAAAAAAAAAAAAAAAGTGTCCCCACCTAGCGAAGTAAGTACCATATAGCATACCGTGAAATAAGCTAGAGAGTCATATGTATATAATACATACAGAGTGCACTCGCAGCTGAGTGCCGACCTTGGCCCTGTTCTCTCTCTGTCTCTCCAAGCCCCTACTGCTGTACATTCACACGTGTATATCCATGCGGGAGAATAAAAAAAAAAAGAGACGATCCGTGAAACACGCTGTGTGACGCAGAGAGAAAGAGAGATAAAGAACAATCGCATTGTGGGCACTGGGCACACGTGCATCTGAAACCGTAGATTGTCGTCATCGGACCAACTGCAGATATAAAAGGCCGTATAAATAGGCTGTCTTGAAATTTAACAAGAGGTATATATAATATGCGTATCAGGGGGTCGGCACAAGGGATACTTTGTGCTTTTTAGCTTTTCGCGTTTTTTTCTCTCTCTATTGTTCGCTTGTTCTTTCGGTCCGATTGCCCTGGAAACGAGATAACTTTCTTCATTTTTAACATGTCGTGTTTTTTCTTTTTTTTTCATACCAGTAATGGAGATTGGAAAGGCGTGGCGAAAAGATGTAAGAAAAAAAATGACCATCTTAAAAATAAAACTGTACTCGGGAACGCAGCTCACCTTATTTAAGGATAATTTATTCGATTTATCGTCGTCCTCGGGAATAATTTCGAGTTATTTCCCCTCAAATCGATTCCGATTAAATTAGCCGCTCTTAAACCGACAAATTGCGTCACGTCTTCTACAGCCTTTCTCCATCGTCGGTCTATAATCGATAATAAACGCTCCTCGGAAAGTTTCTCCCCATCCTTGCAGAGAAATGAGTTTTTTTTTTCTTTTTTTTCCTCCGTAAGCTATTAATATTGTTACTAGTTTATTAATTATACTAAATTACAAACGTGTATACAAGAGTGACTTGAACTTGGAAGACGCGAGTAATGAGCATAGTATATTATACTTAGTAATGATAGATGTATTTTTTTCTTCTTAGAAACCATGTACATATTAACATATACCATATTATGAGCAAATTTGTATCTATGTACATTATTGATATTACAATTCGTATAAATATATGTATGTGTGCATTGAACGAAACACGTAGCAGGGGAATGCTGAAACAGAAGTATATACACACACGGAAACGATAGAAACAACAACTATTAAATTCTACACAAGTAGAAATAATAAACAACCCCGACCCCTCGATCGAACCTTATACAGTTATAATGACAGTATCCCCATACACGAAAAACAACAGTCATCAACACCTAAAAGGCCGTGAACGTCTCTCGAAATCCACCATCACTCTCTGGCTTGGTATAACATAAATATACATCCACTCGTCGATCTAGTGACATGGAAAAAAAAATATATATATATATTAACAAGATTCGCACCACGTAGCTGCTCATGCTCTCGCTCTCTCTATCTATTCACTTAGACGACGTTCTGTGCACCATTATCTGTCTCTTCGTCGATGTACATCCTATTGTACTATAATAACAAATGCCTTCTTCGCTCATCAACTCTCTCGTTTCTGAAAAATCACGTGCCACTGGAAAGCCCTATTAATCCACAGGTGCCGATCCTCTCTCCTCTCTTGGGTTCACTTTCTTGCTTTTCCCCTCGCATACGTAACAAACTTTCCTCTTCCACGCAGCTTTTTACCAATAACCCCGTAAATGTATATCACATTACGTTATAAGGATGACATTGGACCAACCATATTTATATGTATTCGTGCAAGCTCTTGGATGATCGAGGTGTACGCCTGAACGTCCCCATTGCTCAAATTCACTGACAGACCCTTTGTTCAGGCATGCACTTTAATCCCAAGAGCTCGCGCCTCATGTAATGTAACTGGAAATAATGATATAAGATCCGACAAAATCATCTCAGTAGTATACTAACCCCCTAAAAACGTAAAACCAACATCGAACAATGTTCTAAAAGCAATGAATCTTCTCTCTCTCTCTCCTCCCCGTCCCTCTCTCCACCTTTTGTCCACTGGTCCCCTTCTTGCACGACAACAACAACAACGGCAACGATGGGATGGCTAAAAAAAGGGAGTACACGACTGGTCTGGATGGAAAGCTCGTTCGTGGGCGTGCGGCCGGTCGAGTCGCCGCCGGAGGTGCCGGCCAGCATGACATCGGCGGCCACCGCGTCCCCGGGCCGGGTGCCCTCGCCGTCGCGCTCCTCGCTTCTCGAGCACTCCGCGGCCACCTCGTCGGCCCTCGGGGCCAACTTGACCCTGACGAGCCTCCGCAGTGGACCCACCGGGGAGACGAGCGAGGACGGCTCGACCCCCGGGGTCTGCGGCCCCGACGGCTTCGCCAGCCTCAGCGGCGGCTCCACGGCCGGTAGCAACAACAACCTCTTCCTCGACCTCGCCCAATCGCCCCGCGCCGACGAACCGAGCCTCCTGCCACAGGACCACCGACACCGCCAGCGCTGCCACCGCCGACAACCCGACCAGGACTCGGCTAATGGTAGCCTCCACCGGGCCAAGGAACGACTCGAGTCTCCCTCGCCCACCCACCACCACCAGCAGCACCACCACCAGAGCAGACACCGCCAGAGGGCCGAGCCCGAGGAGCACCAGCACCGCCAGCACCAAGAATCACAACAGCAGCAACACCAGCGTGGTGAGTTGCTGCTCGCCTAGGCTCACTTTCTCTATTTTCTCTCTATCTCTATATATCTGGTTCTTTTTCTCTTTCGCGCGCGCCACGAAATTGTTCTTGTTGTTACATCACTATATAATATATTATTATTATTATTACTGTGTTACTGTGTTTTGTAAAACAAAAAAAAAACAAAAAACAAAAAGAGATGGAAAAAAAAACCGAGAGACCGATTGGTTTGTTTATCGATTACTGTTACGTCATATATATGTATACAACAAATGTATAACCATGTTACGTTTGTCCGTGCAAAACGCGACAATAATCACCTGTTTGCTCTACAACAACAACAACCATCATCTGAAATTACTCTCTTTCTCCTCCCACCTCCGAGCTTGTATACTTTCCAAAGTCACTTTGTCGCTGTTTTATCACAAACGTCGTTTGTGATCTCGGGGGGGATGGACGGCTATGCTTCCGATGACTGTACAACGTACTTCCAGCCTCTTGCAGACGAGCGTCTCCTTTCCAATGTCATTCCAACAAGTGTGTACTCGCGATACACACGCGACGCTTCAACAACATTTCTGTCTGTCTCTGTATTAAGTAGCTCTTTTTCTATAACTTGGCATTGTCTTGATATGACGATGATGCACGTAGCCTGGTTCCGTTGTGTATAGAATCCCCCTTCTATAGTTCCCGCCCACTCTACCACCACTACTTTATTTTTTTATTTATTTATTTTTTTTTTCCTCTCTATCGATACCAAACACTTAAACAACCACTTGGCTGATGCTGCCGATTATTATTTCATAACGATGATGTTGATGCTCGTGGCCTGTTGCTCCCATTTTCTGTGTCGTGTGTGTGTGATGTCGCATTATACATGTGTGTACGTCACTACTTGTAGTTAGGCAGTATATCTGTTTGTCGTGGGACACGGTTTCAAGGGAAGGATGACGAGAAATTTTTTGTTTTTTTTTTTTTTTAACTTCACCTGTACATAATACTACATTATTTTATATACGTGTGTACGCGTGTACATGTATACGGTACGGCTGAATAATCATACGTCGAGGAGTTTGCAAGCTCCCGTACACTTTTCAAGCTTATATCCAGATATAACTTTCGTTCTCTCGATTGTACAGGTACACACAAAAACGAACCCTTCTTCCGATAGATCTACACATGTTACTTATATTATATTTGTCCTTTTATTTTTTTTTTTATCATCTTCCTCGCGAAAGTAATACACTCGGATTTTGTTTTTTATTGCACGCACAACAGCAGCCACGTACCTATTCGTAAATGTATTAAACAACCAAACTCCTGTGGAGAGAGGGATTCTTTACTATCATCGCTATACGTTAAACCATGACTTTTTACTCTATTGATCGGGATACGATGTGATACGTAACTTTTCGTGGATTCAAAGACGAGATTGATCGATTTACTTACTTTTTATGAAAAAAAAAAAAAAACGAGCGAAATTGTAAAAATTACGTGCGCTCTTGCGTAATCGTCGAAACGCGACCACCTGTGCCACTCGAGGAAACCGCGTGCAGCAGGGGACGTTTGTCTGGTCGGGCTAGAGTCCAAGCCGGCGCGTATTTGCGGCAAGAAATAAATATCCTCTAATTTTAGAGTCTAGAAAAGCGAGCGTATCCAAGTACGCGGAAGAAGAGTCTCTCCGATGTTTCGCGCGCACCCGTTGGTTTCGGCTTGCTGTGTATCGTGCACTTTTGGCATCACGTCTGGTACAATGTAGTGCAATTTTAGTTGTCCAACACCCGGTTATCCAGGTGATTAATTTTTACGCTCGAGACGAAAAGAAAAGTTGACGAAAAAACCGTACTTTGTTTTTCCTGCAATCGTTTCAAGCGGCATGAAAAACGGAGTGCGTTTATTTTTTGCCACTCCTGTAAATTTACACTTTTATCGAGCACGCGAATCAACCTCTTTCTCCTTTTTTCTTCCTCCGTTTAGTGCAATATTAGGAGGAAGTTCTACAGTTATTTTTCTCTCATTTTGGTACAATTACACAAGTATATGCTCAGGCTGCCAGAGCAGGTGTACAACGATATGTCATTCCAATACTTTTTACCTTGTGCCGTCTCGGATCTTGATATATATATAACACTTTTTTTTATACAAGTGCTCCAAAAAACCTCGTCAGTTTTTTTCAATCCTTCTTGCTATGTAGATATTTTTCTCCACCGATTATTGTTGCTTCTTTTTTTTCTTATCCTCCACACACATGCACTTGCTTTTTCGAGTCGCTCGATTATCATTCACAAACTTACGTGGACACTGCAAACTGTCTCGACGCTATGCGTTACGATAACTATTTGTCTTTGTACTCGTGAAGCAATAAACATACGTATAATTATGCAAAGAAGTACGCGAAAATTGAAAAATTAATTAATCTCTCGATCCGACAGCATGTTACGTATTTTACTGAATTTTTTTTTTTTTTTTTTTTTTTTAAGTGTATTTTTACATGTTGTTGATGTGTATACATTTCAGAGAGTATATATTTATGTAACCGAGACAGTGTTAACATATTTTAGTTCACGCAAAGCATAACGTAGTAATCCTTCAAAGGAGAAAAACTTTAGCGCTTTAATGTATGTTTTTATCACTGTAAAGTTGCTCTCCCGTATACGTTTGTCTTCCCTCCGATGTTTGTAGTTTCTCTCCATTTACGAAAGCTCCTATATATGTACCCACCAAAACTACCTACTCCTCTCCACTTTGCTATTGAGTTGATTATATGTATTATTTACTATATACCGCTATTTTATGTATACAGCTTTTT